TACTCGTTAGTCCGATCTGTACGCTTTGCGTAGCATGCAGTCTGTCAAAAATGATTTTTTGAGAAATACTGAAAGTTTCAAAGAGATTTTCGTACTAGAAGTAATCTAAAATGTGAAGAATACAACCCCAGAGGTACAAAATGACCCCAGGGCGTACGAATATGGTTAATACAGTATACTATTATGAAATCCACATAATATGACAGTGACATCTAGCGTTCAGAGTACAGATTACAATGTCAAGTCGCATTTTATACGATACATGAAGGCCTGCTTATAATAAACAAAAGTTCATCAGGATGAACTAAATAAGTTAGTGTTTTCAATCCGTTTCCCTGTTCATGTGATCGGCTGATGGTCTTAATTTGACTTCTCCGTGTCGTTGTTGCTGTTGCTGTTGTTGTTGTTGCTGCTGCTGCTGCTGTTGTTGTAACTGTTGTTGTTGTTGTTGTTGCTGCTGTTGTTGTAGCTGTTATTGTTGTTGTTGTTTGGTTGTTGTTTGAGCAGCTGTTGCGGCGGCGGTTGTTTTTTTGTGTTTGTTGGTAATGGTGGTATCTCTATATAAGGAAGAGTCTAGGGGGACCAGGGTTTGGTCCACGGAGACTGCGTGTCTAGGGGGACCAAGGTTTGGTCCACAAAGACTGCGTGTCTAGGGGGGACCAGGATTTTAGTTTCTCATTCAAAACCTGGGTGGGTTATTTCTCCGAGAGAGCCTACCTGTATGTCTATTTTATAAATCCGTATCTTATCTGCCCGTCTGTCTGTCTGAGTTTGTCTGTCTATCTGTCTGTATTCTCGTTGGTAGGCACTGCCTTTCTTTCTGTCTTTGCATGGTTCTTTATGTCTGCCTGACTGCCTGATCATCTTTTATTCCGTCTTTAACTCATTCGACACAGTCTGTCATAAAGCAATAGTATCTATAGCATCACGCACGAAGAGCATGGTATAAAAGTTCAAGCTGATTAAAATGTCATTGATACGGCCAACGATATCCTCTAAGGGTCACGTTTTTTAAACCACACTCTTCCTATCTTCAGGCTAATTAGGTCGCCATGTCGAACTGAGAATGAGAAATGCGTTCGTAGTAGGTCATTTATTTGTTGGAGCTTCAGATACGTGTGAGACATATTGTGGCGATTATGGAGTGCTTTGAAAAAAAAAAAAGAAATTTATGAACTTACAAATTTGACACTGCCAAGGAAGAAGAAAGAAGGGAACTAATAACACAAAAGGTGAAGCTGTATTCTGTTTGCGTTTTTCGTTTTTCAAGTCAACAAGGGATACTGTGCGTGTGTGTTTTATGTGTGTGTGTGTGTGTGTGTGTGTGTGTGTGTGTGTGTGTGTGTGTGTGTGTGTGTGTGTGTGTGTGTGTGTGTGTGTGTGATATGTACGCACGAGTGTGTGAGTAGAGCCTCTTATGTTTTTTCTTTCACTTCCAGTCTAACTTTTTCCAAAGAGCACAATGAAAGGATAATAATTTTGCATTTCACTGCAAGTATTCCGTTTTATTCGACTTCAGCTGGGATTTTTAGTTGATGGGAAGAACGAACTGCATCATGTTGTAGTGCTTTACGTTTTATTTAGATATTTGTCAACATATTATTATAATCCCAGATAATATTATACTAGATCTAGTACCTCACCTAGCAACGTAAAGTCGTGCGCTCTTCGGGTTTTCTTTCTCTTTAAGACCGTTCGACTGAGAGGTCCTTTTTAGCACTATTTACATCCGATGATTTAATCATCAAGGGATTACAGCTATGTACAGACTCAATATGAAGCAAAACGACCGCTCAGATGTACGTCAAAAGTGAAGGATATAATAAGATATACCGGTATTGAATGCAGAGTTCCTTTTATAAGGAGAAAGTAATTTATAGAATGATAGGTATATTCTATTTTTGTGTGTGAGACTCAGTTAATGTCAGTGTGTGGTCGTGTGGTATCCAATAACACCTTTCTTTGAATACATGCACTCAGGATCTGTTTTAGAAGTGAGATAAGAACACCAATATGCTAGACTTCCGCATTTTTCATATGAGTGACGGTTCTTCCGTTTCCGAATCAATATGTCGGAAATTCAAAGGGGAACCTTACAACTTGAACATTGAACTTGTGAACATCCAAAGGAGGTCGTCCCTTTCCGTTTCGAATTGTGTGTCATCATCATCGTTGACCTCCTCCTCCTCAACCCTGTCCTCGTCACCATCATCTGTGTCGTCAAGTCTGCCATCTAGCCTGGGTTCTGCGTCCCATTTGGCCACTTGTGACACACCCAGAGCAGTGGACATTTCTGTACTGGTTGTCTCGCCCAAGATGGTCAAGCACTTGACGGGACTAAAGCATTGCGACAGGTACAATATTATCTATTTAGTTTTGTCGAAATTGTTGGGTTTAGCTAGATGACTTGACGTCTTTTAAATTAGAAATTTCTTTGAAACTGCCTGCCTAAATGTTATTTCGACTTCGGATGACATCACAAGCATTACTTTCAAATGCAAAGAGAATGGGCTGAATTTTGCCCTAGGCTTCTTTTCGTTTCCAACCCGTCCCGCCCC